CGGGCTCGATATCTCGAAGAACCAACCACTTGGCGAGCACGTAGCCGAACGAGCGGGCGAGGCAGAGCTCCACGTCAGCGCCGGCCGAGAGGAAGAAGTTGGTGAGCACGGGTGCGTGGCGGCACGAGAAGAGGGCGAGATTGGGGGAGAGAAGGGAGTGGAAGTAGAGGGACCCGAACTCGGGTGGGGAGTCGCACGCGCAGAGCCAGAAGAGGCGCGTGAGGAAGATGAGAGTGAAGAAGGAGGAGAAGGAGTCGGGTAAGTGGGAGTCGAGGGCCCACGAGACAGGCTCAGGTCTGATCAGGCCGCGGCCGAGCTGCGGGCGGGGGAAAGTGGGCGAACGGGACACGATTTCGTGGAGGAGCTGGAGGAGGAGGGGGAGGAAGGGTTTGTCCGAGGAGAGGGAACACGTGTCGGAAAACCAGGCGGGCTGGGGATTGTCGTCGAGGCAAATGAAGAAGGTGATATTGGAGGTTTCCGAGTCCGGGGTGGCCCGGAGATGGATGGAATGAGTCGAGTCGGCGTTGATGGCGAGTTGGAAGGTGAGGGGTGAGTTGGGAGGGTCCAGTGAGGCCAAGTTGGGGAGTTCACATATCCATGACCAGATATCCATATTTTTTTTGAGTTATTTTTTGAAGATTTTTGGAGACAGAGAGTGAGTGAGTGTGTGAGAGTGCGGGCCGTTGGATTTATAGAAAGAATGGGTGACGGAGAGAAGGACAGCATGGGGGGGTTGTTTTTTTCTGCGGACGAAGATGGGCTCTCACAGACTTGAGGTTCATATTTTTGGATGTGTTAATTAACATCTTTTGTTTCTTTGTTCGTCCTACCAGGTATATTTTTCTGAAAATTTTAGATAATTTAGGTATACAACAAAACCAATTAATTGCATTTAGTTTGTTGGGTTAGTTCAATCCAAAATTGATGTTTGATTTTTGGGTGGTGAATATATACTGAATTTTTTTTTTTTTTTTTTCCATCCACCAATTATAAATGTAATATTCAACTCTTTAGTTTTCCTGTGGGATCGATAGCCAAGTTAGAGTTCATTATATCACACTCTTAGACCTTTGGCGATGAGGGCTCGTGCCAGATTCAACACCTTCTGTTATCTTTATAGTATTATCGTTTTTGAAAATAAATCCTGATTAAAAATAATAACAACATAAACAATGAAAAATAATAATATTACACATAACACAAAATAACATTTTCACACTAAGAATAAGTTCTTAGTTGAGGAAAATGCTACGGTCTCGTTACGGTCGGGCGTTTTAACCGTCGGATACACTTGTAGTTAGTATAAAATAAATGATCTAATGGTTTTAAAAACATTCGACGGCATGGTACCGTAACAAGACC